ACGAAAAATTGCTTCAATGTTGTCCTCCAATGTGTCAATTGAAGCGGACTTGTCTGCATAGACATTAAATTTTAACATAGCCACACCAAAAATTATCTAAAGTCGTTAAATCGAACCATATAGAGGCGGCTAATTAACAGTTCCTGAACGTGAAATAAAATGCTCACCGAACTCGTCTCTCAATAAGTCCATTGTTACGCGTGCTTTGTGGCATGTGGCAGCGTCTTGTTGAAACCACATGTCATGCAAGTCAAGCTCTTGCATTTTGTGCAGAAAAAGTTTGTTATCATCTCACAGTAGCGCTCACCATTCACAGTTACGTTACAACTCGCATCATCTTTGAAGAGGTAATGTCCAATGATGCCACCAGCCCATAAACCGCTCCAAATTGTGATTTTTACTGGTTGCATTGGTAGCTCTTGCAATGCTTCTGGCTAATCTTCACTCCAAAATCGACACCCAATCGAGCCAAAATCAGCTTCGAAGCGCGCGCGGAAGAAGCACGCGATGAACTTTCTTAACATATAACGCATTTTGATAATAAAATTTAATAATCTGCAAACGTTGTTCGTTTGTAGGACGATTCATGGTTAAATTATAGACCAAACTGACGATGGTTGACAGTGAAGCAAAATACGAACCGTGCGTCAGCTGTTTAAGCCAGTGTTGCCAAAAGGATAATAGCCATAAAATTATGCCTTACATATATGTAGTTATTTATAAGAAATACCTTGAATATTGGACGGAAAATATATTCCACGTCGTACAATTGAATGCGACAGAGCCCTAAAATACAATTCAAAAGTAAATTCTTTCTCTTTAATCGGACTACCGCTGTTGTATTGAACTTTTACCAAGAGAGTTTTGTTAACCTTAATGAAAAATTTTTGCGCATGTTTTTTGCTTCCTCTTGTTACGGTAACAATCCCGAGATCGCAGAGTTTTTTTTACATACCAACAGGTTTTACATTCTAAGGTTTTAGACTGCATTCTTTGAATTCAATCGAGGCTATATTTAGGTGCTGAATATCTAAATTGGATACCCTGCGTCCATGATGGCCTTTAAAACATACCATAAAATGAATACTTTGTTTTTTTAAGCAAGTTTGGACTTAGAACCTGTAACCGAATACAGCTATGTGAGAACATTTCGGTATACCGAGAGATCGGAAATATAAATTAAATATAAGACGAGCCCTAAAACATTTTCTTGTGGAACACCAGCATACATTTCATAGGATTCAGTAATGTAACTTATTTCCCTAACCCAAAAACGTTCTACCAATAATGGAACTTTTTGGTTCGGCATAAATAGTTACGGGAAGAGTGCCTCTAGCTCATATTCATTCCACAAATCTCCTACCAACAATTTTTCAAGCCATATTCTTTAACTAAACTGTTTTTATTGTAATCACAAAGGTATTCGCCCGAGTGTATTTTCGAAAATATTGCAGGAGTAAGAGTTTTTGGACGGAAAAAATCCGAGTCGGTCCGGATCCAACTGTCGCGAAACTATTTAATTTAGCCGTCTCTTACGACGGGCTTGCTAACAACGTATGAATACTAGGATCCCTAACTTCTACAGTTTAACCAAACTGTCTTTTGTATTGTTGGATGATTTTATTCTATTTTTTTCTGCTATAGTATGTATTTGCAGTAACAAATTTCTTAAATTCATATTCACTCTGTTTTTGTGTCCGAAAGTTATCATTTTCAGATTCAATTCAATCAGTTCAATTCAATTTCATACTTAGTCTGACAACACCTTCAAGAGTTGTAAGAAATCGAAATTAAGTGAATTTTCATAATTATGTAGAGAACGAAGCAGTCTGGGGTAGTATTAAATACTTATCGAGCAAAACAATAAATAATATTCAACTTATAGTAAATTAAATTGAGAACGAAACGATGTCATATGTCAATATAAAAAATAAAATTACGGGAATAATTTTGTTTCATTTCGGCGCCATGTTATGGAAACGAAATGAAATTGTTAATGTGGAAACCACTCTCACTATGGCCAGCTATGATTTAACAGCACACTTAAATTTTAGCGTTTGACATTAGCTGTTAACGAATTAACATTAACGACAGCTTTTCGTTTCATTAACCTTCAAGCGGTCGCGCGGCGTCGAATCGTCAGCGCTAAATGTGTTTTCGTTCATAATTGCATTATTGAGTTATGTTATTTGATTTAATAGTTACATTTTTTCTGAATTTAAGCTACTTATTTTCGACTTTTTCGACCCTAAACACACCCTAAATAAAAAAAATAAATTATTATTAGTGAATTACAAATGGCCGCGTGACCGCTTGAGAATTAATATTTCCAAACGTTACAACCGAATCAATGGAAATTTGTTGTTTAACGTGAAATTTGTCGTTGCGATGCAGCCTTGATATTGTTGACGATTACTTTGCGTCATTTATGGCAAAATACTCTGCCTGGTTATAAAGAGAACACTAACATCAATAAAAAAAAAACAATGCGAATAAGTGCAATTAAAATTTTTACATCAGAACTCCATTATTTAAGATAAAATTAAATTATAAAATTTTTTTTTTCGTGGCTGTAACAATAACTATGAATGTATTTTTGTATGTAACACATTGAAAATTTTAACAATACAATTTAAATTTTATAATTGCACAGTGCAAGCTCCAAGGGTAAAGAAAGTTTAATATTCCTTCTTCTTAATTCAATGATCGCACTTTAATAACAAAATATTTAACTTATTATTTATATGTAGTTTGAAGATTATTTCGGAAACTGGAGCTATTTAAAAATAAAAAACGGAGGTTCTATGGAATTTAAGGCAAATAAAAAAGGTAATGTGTACTGTGATTTGTACTAAAGTTTAAATTTCGATACCTCTGCGGCTAGGAGAGACTTCTTGTGAAGCTTCTCAGCAGGAAAAAAAACTATGCTTCGGAGAAACCACGTCGAGCTTGTTGGGTGCATACTATTGAGCTTGAAAAATCTAGGGTAAACCAATCCCGCACTCTCATTTAGAGCGTTTTAGGTTAATCTCATAATTCGCTATAACAATTATACTTATGCTAAGTCCTGCTTTATATTTTTCAGATGTTTTTCTAACAAAGAGATCAATCGACGTATCTTTACATCCGCTATTTCTTTCAAATCTATATAGTTTACCGCACCTAGACACTTCATTCCACTCCTCCAAAGTGCGAGGCATTCGCAAAAGTTGTGGCTAAAGGTTTGAGATTATTTCTCTTTCTACAATTCTTACTGAAGTCGTTTGAAGGTACACCCAACCTACCAGCATCTATACCTGTTAGAAGATGTCCCGTAAGCACACCAATCCTTGTAGACATTTTTCCCTTTTTATATAGCTAATTGCTTTGCTTCATAAAATATTGTATTTCCTTCATAATAGGTTTTGGCTGAAATACTTATAACATATTTGATACAATGAAAATTTTCAAATAGATCAAGAATTTTTTTTGAAGCATTATTGCTTCTTAATCCGCCTTTGCTTAACATTTCTGAAAAGACTCATAGAGAAATGCTTAAATTTAAAACAGATTTGCACGAAGCTAGTGCCCAACACCTTTGTGATTGTCTATATACCACATGGTTATATTTTACGTCTTCCGGGACTCCTCCCCTTTCTTCATGTAGCCTAACGTGTCCTATCAAATAACTTCTCTCTTCCCTGACGGTGGGACGTGGTTTTTTCCAACCCTGTTTATAAGTTACTACATATCTGTATTTAAATAATAAGTAATTTTCTAAATTCACATACGACTTAATAAACATTTAGAAACAGTTATTAAATCATTAAATACAATTTATTAACGTAGAATTAATTTTTATTTTAATTTAAGACAACTTCGTAGCCTCGCTCTCACCACCTTCTCCCAGTTACATAACTATAATGTAGCATTTCAACAAATCTCGACCACATCTTAGCCGAGCTACGTTGTTTTTGGACGAACCATTCAGAAGAATACAGGCTAAGTCATTCGTCTGTCTTGCCAACTTTCCTACGTTTATATTTTGCTCAATCAAAATGTTTATCAGCTTCTCAAAAGGGTGTCTTTTGCATTAGATAATTAACTAAATGTTGTTGTTAACAAAAATCCGTTCTTTAATTTTGGAAGCTGGGAGAAAATACTACGTAGAATAGTTTAAACTTAATTTTCTATTTATCGGCCAGGACTAATATTTTTCCCGAAGGAAGACATTAAAATCATGTAAAATGAGGCCCCCTCTAAATAAGCTGTTAGGCATAATATATGTTAAGCCAATTTTATACATATTATGTATGTTAAAAAAATCTATATACCAAGTAACTATAAACTTCAGGCAAGAATATAAAAGCAAGATGGTTCGTAATTAATTAAATAAACTAATGGTCAATTCGCTAATTTTAACAAAAAAAAATCATGATTGTCACGGTATTTATTTTATCTTCATGTTAAGTTAGTTGAGTGACAAGCCAAAAACTTCGCTGGTCGGTGAAAGATAACATGAAGAATAATGACACCTACACGTATCAATATCAATCCACCGATGAAATTCAAGCAAACTAGACGGTTTTGTTTTCTTTCGTGAAAAATAAGATCCAAAAGTGAGACTTTCTAAATCAGGTGTAAGTTTTGGAATATTTTGTCTTTTCGCTTGATTTCAACAAAAAAATTTGAAGATTTTTGTTATCTAGGAGTTAGAGGTTCTTGGACATAAATTACTTTAACCTATTTATTTTCATAAATTTTTTTTACTTTAATTTCAATTTTGAATTGAAAAAAATGCGCCAAATAATTTACAATGAGAAATGCATTCTTTATATCCTTTGTAATAGCTTAATTTCCCTCTCTCTCATGTTTACCAATCATATGTTTCCTGCCAATTCTCTACTGAAAAGTAAATAAGCAAAACTAATATCTTAAGTAAGACACATTTGACTCCGATTTGGTTCGAAATGAAGCGTTAGAATAACAAGTTTACATAGTTAACTATTTTATGAACTTACCGTATTGACAAACTCTGCTATATTTGAAGATATCAGGTAATTTCCTTCACACCAATCGACCGGAGAGCTGCCATGCTCCCAGGCCATGATGTAAATATCGAGTATGGAACTTTGTGAAGCCAATTTAGCGGTTTATTTGACAAAATGTGTATTGATTTTGTTGTAATTGCTTTTATTCTCCACAATTCACAATATTATATAAAATATCACTTTTTTATTTATACATTATACATTTTTCTAATTTATACAAAATCAGTGTCATTCAATAATTGCGCACCCTTATTCCTATACAAATAATTCTTTTAGTTTTTACATACGCTCAAATGCATTCGAATCGATTATGTTTGTTTATTTTGCTATTTTCTTAATTCAGATTCTTATTATATAAGAATTTTCAAACTTTTTGAATTTATTAAATAAACGTTTAGAAAGTTAAATCTATATTTCCTCAAAGAATTTTTAGATAAAAGTTAACTTTTTGGTTTTTCAAAAGCTATTTGCGACTGCTTGTAATTGTTATTTATGTGAAGACGCGAAACAAATACGTAAACGTCTACACAACTCAAACGAATTTATTGAACTGTTCTCAAAACAAAGTACACTGTCAATTTTTTATTCATTTTATATCAGTAAAATGGCATATAAGTCTCTTAAGCAGTAACTCCACAGCTAGCGCGCACGAGCTTACCGATATGCCTAAAATTGAGCGTTCGGCGTTACGTTTTCCTAACGACAATTAGTAGCATCGCGCGCTATCCCAAAAATAGAGCGCTAACGTTTTGGCGTTTTCTCTTAAGCTTCAAGTTCGTATTATGTTAAGAACATTAAATAATATTGTTACGATTTTACTAAATCAACCTCGACTATTTCCTAAATCTTTCGGGTACGATCTCTGGATTGTTAAATAAAAACTCGCCAACTTAATTTGCAGTTTCTTTCATAATAAGGATTTTATCTAATGTCCTTTATTTACTCCGTAATACACAATTCAATTACAAGGCACTTTACTAGCTACAATCACTTGCATCAACTTTCACAATTTACTCTACTTAACTGTAATTCCCAACGCGTTCACTTTACGACTTAACCAATGTTAACGCCAACGAGCTCACTTTGTAACTAACTTCTTGGCAGCTAAATGTCGCCTTTATATAGCAATCGGCTGTTCGCAGACGAAAGCGTAGAAGCATCGATTTGTTCGCTATGGAAGGTTATTGTTTTATCGTTTCTAGAATGTACTAGTTATCGGCTTCTCTCTTTCATCTGACATTCGCCTCGCATTTTCGCAACAATATATTATAATTGTAATTATTTCAAACAAGATACTCCGAACTTAATCGGTCAGCTAAAGTGTGCATCCACCTGTTAAATTAATTTTTCATTGAATATTTATAATTTTATTTATAAAATACAATTTATTTGCTTTTTCTCTTTTTTATTTTATCCTTCACATCTAACTTCATCATATAATATAAGGCGCTGTCAAAATTGAAAACTCCATTTGCTCAACCTTGTAGCCGCGTTACTGTGGGATGTTCCAAGAGGATTTTTGACAGTTGGTAAGCGCTCAACGCTCCAGTTTAGGGAACGACAGGTCAAGCTTTAACGCATTGTTTGGCATTTCTAACTTTGCCAGCCAATTGTCGGAAATGTATATAAAATTCCGTTTGCACGAAAGCTTGCTGTAGGTATATATGAGCGTAGCGCATACAGCTGAATGTTCGGTAGAGTTTGGTACTTGGTAGTGACAACATCGGAATAGAGTTCGACGGAATGAATTGAATAAATAGCTGTACAGTTAGTAAACTGTTTGATTAAAGGAGAATTAACTATGTAAAATAAGTGGAGTGATAGAGTTATAAAGTAATAAACAATACAGTGACCGAACTAGGAGAAAAATCGTTACAATATCTGTCAAGCAAAGAGTTCCAAAATTATTATCTACTATCGGCTTAATAGGTGACCGCCTGTTTTGCATACTTATATAGCATTTAGTATGAAATCTGTCTCAAGATTGTTGTTGGTGAAAAATATAATATTTCAACGAGGAAGACTGTTTATCGATAAAATGTGTTTGTAGAATTCACCTTTACGAATTTCTTGTAAGAGCTTGAAATTATATTTTGAATTGAAAATTATTTTCGTTAACAGACCATTTCGTAAAGTTGATCTATGTAAACGTCCTAACTGTCATAACAAATAAGACATAGCCTAGTTATTCAATTATCTGTGCTGACTGACAGCCGTCAGTTTTTACCACTATAAATTAAAAGTTTTTAATATTTCTCAACGTAGTTTTCTAAATTTTTTTTTTTCATTACATCTGGAATTATTTTCGATATAGCATTAAAGCACTTAAATAGTTTTCTGGTAAACACGAATAATTGAAAACATAAGCGTGCAATGGAACTCGAGCTTAACATTGTATTCAATTCAATTTCGTTCCACCAATAGATAACACTACTACACTTACACTGCTTACTTTTTGTATATGTCAACACAATACAATTTTTTAACATAATAAGGGTCCAAATTTTGTTTATCGTATTAATTTTTTCAGGAAAATGTCATCTGCAATTTACTTAGAAAACTATCTTGATGGTAAGTAAAATTTAGCGATATTAAAAATCATTTTTACATGTGATACAATTATTTTTTTATAATACTCTACATATATGTTTTAAAAAAAAACTTTATTTTAAGGACTGGAATCCTTACCAACCGAATTGGAACGCAATTTCAAGTTAATGCGAAAGTTGGACGATCGTGCTCAAACAGCAATGAAAACAATAGATTCTCGTGCGAAAGACTTTATGCACAAGCTCGCTGCGAACGGAGGATGTTCTATGACAGATGAAGAACGCAAAGAGCGTCTTATAGACATACAAACTCTGTTTGGCAAAGCAAAAGAATACAGCGATGACAAAGTTCAACTAGCCATACAAACTTATGAATTGGTGGATAAACAAATCAGGCGTCTTGACAATGATTTAGCACGGTTCGAAGGTGAAATACAGGAAAAAGCGTCGTCAACACATAGTAAATCTGAAGAAGCCGTGGTTAAAAGTAAACTATAATAATAATATTTGGTTTTATTTCATATTATATTTTTAATTAATTTTAGAAGGTCGTAAGAAAACAAAAGACACCAAAACACCCGGAAAGCGAAAACGCACTGGTTCTTCAGATGAAGAGGCGCGTACCAATACTGCTAATATGACCACTAGTGGGAGTGGTGGGGGAGGTAGTGCGGGTGCGCAAGGTAGCAAAAAGAAAAAGGCGAAGGTAAATCAAGAAAAAGAAACTCGCAAGGGGGGTCAAAAGGTAATCATCAAACTCATTACTACATACTCATTTTTTTAACTTACAATCTTTATTATTATTGTGAAGTTTGTTTCATCTCTAATTAATACGGTTGTATCTTGCTTAGATTTTCTTCTTTTGTTTAGCGAATAAACTAATATATAATATTTTCGTTAAGTTATTATTTTCAGTAGATTCGTTTGCATTGTTTTGAAGGTGTAAGAAGTTCAATACTGATGATATGTGTGTTTGGAAGACTAAAAATATTGAAACATTATAATATATATTAGTAATATACCTACATACTCCTGTGAAACCTTTTCGAATGCGTTGTATGTTTCAAAACGAATTATCAATGATTTTCGTTTCAATTTATTAACATATACTCATTTCAATCATAAACCATTCATTCAGCACATTCCTTTGTTAAGCTTTTTTCCTATTGAATTTTACATTTTACAATCAATGTAGTACCTACTTTTTGAAATGACTTTCATACCAAGTTTGTAATTTGCTATAATATTTTCATTCTAATACTATTTTGAAGAAAAATGTCGAAATTGAGGACTCGGAGAAGGAATCATGTTTAACTACTGCAACACATCCTAGTGATGTGCTTGATATGCCAGTGGATCCGAATGAGCCCACTTATTGCTTATGTCATCAAGTTTCCTACGGAGAAATGATAGGTTGCGACAACCCAGATGTAAGAATTTTGCTTAAGCGACATATAATATCAATTATACTTTTTTTGGTCTTTCAATTTCTTCTCTTATTCTAGTGTCCAATTGAGTGGTTCCACTTCGCATGTGTTGGTCTCACAACTAAACCGAAAGGAAAATGGTTTTGTCCGAAATGTACACAAGACAGAAAAAAGAAATAGGAAGAGAAGATCATTAATAGATTACACTTAATGTAGTTTGTGTGTAAGGTTAAAAAACGTTTTTGTATAATTAAAGTTAAAATTAAAATAAAATTATTAAATATAGGTATATTCATACTTTCATTTGTAACAACGTCGAAGTAAAACGTTTCCACTTTAAAATGAAAAAACAGAATTTTATAAATGCATTTTAAGTTTATTGCAATTTTGTAACAAAAGTGATTCTTGATTTATAAATTTGTAAACAACTAATTATGGATCGATGTGTGAACTTATATTCCTGTCATAATTGAGAACAACAACAGCCCTTTTAATTTAAATTTAAACAATTTACCTATTAAATGTAAATAACATTAACCCAAACAATATGAGCTAAATGGTCAGTACTGCAACACACATACTTTTTAAAACTAATTTTAAAACCAGTTTGTGTGTTGAAATAAATTTTGTTTGTTATAAGTAAATATTTGTAAATTGTTTAACATTCTTTTAAATGTTGCAGTATACATAATAAGTATAACTTGTACTAATCTCTTAAACGAAATTTCCAGTTTTACTGCATAACTAAAATGCATTTATTGCACGATTAAATATTTAAAATTTTAAATATATGTTCAACAACGTTGTGATTGTTCAAATAAGATTTACAAGATGGATTTTTACGAATCAAAAAGTAAAAGTTGAAATTTGCTTTCTATTTTATGTTGAATATCACTAGGGGAGCAAAAATCTTGCCAATTTTTTCTGCAATATTACTCCTATTACAAAAAAAAAACAGAAACTTTTTTTCTTTTTCCTTAACAAAAAATAATATACTTCTGTTGCCTACTTTCCGCTCCCTGGTTCACGAGTGCGTAATATTTTTCGAAACCAGCTCGTACGGGACTCGTTCGCCAAATATTCTTGACTTTGTAGATGGAAGCTTGATAAATTAAATATCTGTTGCATCTCGAGTGCTCTTTTAAAAGAGTACTGTTTCGTCGCAAGATACATTTTTTTCAGAAATTCAGGCATTTGTTTTTGTGTTACCCACGATTTTATATTCTGTGGTATCGGTAAGCCTGGATCGTCGTAATATGTTAGTATGTAGTGTACGCCGGGTTCACTGAAATTTGTATAGGGTTTAATCACCATCAAACTCCAATAGTCATTAACTCGTACTTTATTGGAGTAAACAGGATATTTTGGATGTTCTGTACCGCGACTGCATACCATCATAACATTGAGCTTATCGTCTTTAATATAACGTCGACAATAGACGTAGTCGCGATTGGAAAATAGTTTCGGCCACTGCATTTCCCAATATATAAGATGAGAATTTGAATTTGGCCGTGGATCTTCTTCAACCATCTCCAAATGAATTGCCGTCTCATCCCATATTCGTCGATATCCTAAATCAGTTTGTACATGTAGAAGGTCATCGGCGGAAATATCATCAAATCGTGCATACACCTTGTACGAGTACATAGATGGATGCTCTTCTCGCCGCCATACAGAAAACTCATCTTTGCTAAAGTAAGGTTCCCATAAACTTTCGCTAAAGGTTTCTATTACTTTATTTCCCAATGGTGCGGAGTCTCTTTTTAAATTAAGTGGGCTTCTGCAATTTCTCATACTCTCGCGACCGTCCTTAAGAGATTTACACTTTTTGTTGCCAATTGTGCAATAACAGAATTGCATGTTCTTATCTTTGCAATTGGAGCAAAGCTCATTATTTGGCAGCTGGTTTAGAAAATCAAGATCTCGCCGGCAAAGGTCAAAATTCTTAAGACTCAATCGTTCCTTTTCCCAATTGAATCCTGCTGCTTCTATGGCCCCAGTGATGTTCAGACCTACAGCTCCCACAGCGCTCAACATTATGCCCCTTATTGGTGGTTCAAACTGTTTGTGATAAGACCGCAGTAATCGAGCGAGGCCGCTAGAACCGTAAACTCGGTGATAGAATGTGAAAAGCTGCTGAATTCGTCGTGATCGTTGTGCCACTATCGATTCACATTGGTATGACCAAGAGCGCAGTGTAACATTTGATCGAAGTTTAATGTTTATTAAAATACGACTAAACATTTTTTTTAATTTATTCCTAACGATTTAAATTTTGTTGTTGCTCTTATTTTTGTTGCCGGCATGTGACAAACTTATTTGTTCTTTTTCCGTTTCGGCTTTACTCTAATGCAGCTCCATACAATCTGTTCTTCTCACCGGAGCCGTTATTTACTATTTGATGCATCCGGTCGCTTGCATAACAATGCAACAACAATTTTTATGTATTTGTTTCGAATTTTGTACAAATAGTTTATTTCCAATACGCTTATATCCGACTATAGCCAAGTCACTTTGACATATATGTGTAAGTGCTAATCAAACTTGTTTCTTCACAGTGCTGGAATTAAAGTAAGTACACTTTATTCAACAGCCTTACAAAATATTCACCAAACGGTGTCTAAATATAAAATATTTAAATTATTCACGTTGCATGTGGTAAGTAGATGAGAAAATAAGCATTGCACAAGTAATAATAATGTGGAGAAATGTAAGATTAAACAATAAGCACATGGAGAGTGGAGATGGAGAGATAGATCAGCTGGGCGCGCTGCCCTCGAAATATTTGGTGAAATGAAAGAAACAGAGCGCTTCGAATATATCAAAGGTGAGTTCTTAAATGTTGAATCGCATTCGTAAATATACGCACACCGCATTAGCGTGAAGTCGCTTCGAATATTAATTTTGAATAATGTTCTTTAATGTATTTACAGTGCCGAAAATTCGCTGACTACAGCGAAAAAAGTAAACACGTTTTCGTTGTATCATAAATTCGGCTTGTCCAAATAAATATTTCAAATTTAGAATTATTAGTCGCCCTGTAATTTATTTTCAAGATTCAATGCATCGTTGGCAAAATAGTATCTGTGAGTTTTAAATGGTTTATTATTCGTTGGCTAACATATTTATTTTAATTTTTATACAGACTTGCAATGGATTTTATTGCCATTCATCAATTAGATGAAATAACACTCATATCACTAATACAAGAAAAAAGGCAACGGCGGAAGCTCTAAACCATTGGTTACTATTTCAGCAACGTGCTTCTTACGCACTTGACCCCAGAAACAACTAAGTTTGTATTTAAAAAGCATTTAAATTGGTTCAATTTGGCTACCGCGCAAATATTACTATGGCTATGAGAAGACCACGTATAAAAGCAACAGCGCTTTTAACAACAAAACGAAAATCTCGGGATGTCAAGACTGAACTGACAACAAAGACTGTTGCCGTTGAAGAGAATGCAGATGAAAGTATTAAAAATATCGCTGCAGAAAATGTTGATACAGTGAAGAAAGGTATCACCGAGCTCATCACAGCTTCAAAGGATGAAACGGAAAAATCGACACCAATCACCGAAGTAGCGCACATAGAACACAAAAGCCGAACCATAGAGGATGAAAAAAAATGTACGGAACCCGACAGCGAGAGTGTTTCTGAAGTCGATGGCATTAAATTAACTGATACGAATGAATTATCTTCTAAAACGTCCAAAAACGATACAGTAAAAGAAAATAATATTTCTTTTAAATGTCCTGCTCGCGTTCAATTTACGCTCAGTAACAACCACACTACAGAATATATTTGTCCTGATGATGCTTTCTACACGGATATGGAGGAGAGCATTTTGCAATCGGATATGCAAAAAACTGCCAATGATTATGCCAATTCGCCGTCAAAGCAACAACCAAGACAAAGGATACGGCCGGTCCCTCTATTTCAAAGAAGAAATAGCTTGGTGGGCGCAGCCAGTCCATTGCAAAACTCATTGGACGATTCTGCAGGTGAGAGTAAAATAATACATGTTTTGTGATTATTTATTTTTTTAATTGTAACTCTTTATTACAGCTTCAACTGACATGCATACGGATTTATCAAAATCGACTATACACGATAACTCAGAAACGTTGCCAATCCAAAAGTCACAACTACCCCTTCATAGAAGAGAGCGTCATTATTCTGCGTCAATGGCTCAAACAACAAATACACCAAACTCTACATCGTGCCATCACCATTACACACCTCACAAGTTTACACCTGCTATGGGTATCAATCGCATACGCACCGAATCGAATTGCTCAGCTTTCTCAGATTCGTTCATACCACCATCGAAAGTACGCAAAACAGATGATCATAACAGCAGTCGCCCTGGCTCTAGACGAGACATCTCTTTACGTATAGTCAATGGTAATCTGGATAAATCTTCTCTAAAAATGTTCGATTTGATATACTACAATCCTGTAACAAATCCCATGGAGAAACGCTCTACCTTGCCTGCTGTTAAAAAAGAGTCTACCCCAGATGTAAATGATACCAAACCATTAATTGTAGAATCAAAGGGCGATGCAGCCGATGGCGCAAGTAATGCAATGCCAGTTCCACAACTGAAGCTAAATGCTAATGGAGACCTTATACTCGACGAAAAAACTTTAGAAATTGAAACCACAGCCGAGCAGGAGGCTCGAAAAGTTCTTGCAAATTCATCATTGATATTTCTTGATGAAAATACCGGCATGAATGGTTTCTATAAGCGACAAAAACGTACTAAAGATTGGCCACCGGAAGAAACAATAAAATTTTATCGTTGCTTACAAACAGTAGGAACCGACTTTTCGCTGATGTGTCAATTATTTCCAAAGCGTACAAGGCGTGATCTAAAGTTAAAATTCAAGAAAGAAGAACGTAGTAATTTAGCATTGATAAATAAAGCATTATTGTATCCGAAGCTTTTTAATATTGATGACTTGAAGACGCAGTTAGAGACTGAAGAGCGAGAGAGAGAAGAATCGATAAAACGTTGGAAGGAGATACATGAAAAAGAGGCTAAAACTATTAAAAAGGTATAACTAATTTTATATATTTTTTATACCCACATAAATATACATTTTATTGGTAGGTAAAAATAAACAGCAGTTCAGCAGCACGAGCTCTTAAAAACGGTGATGATATATATGAAAATGAAAATATTGTTAAACAAAAGCTCAGCAAACGATCAAATGCATCTGAAAAGAAAAAGACTGAGGTCAGCAAAAATCCAATAAAAGCGTTACCGCAACAAACGCCCGCTGATTTTAATGGGAATGCGCCAACTGCCCTGAAAAATCTAAAACGGCGGTCAAAGCAGAATATAACGCATAATTCAAAACCAAAAGACCAACCATGCAATGAGATGGCTTATCAAACGCCGAAAGAAGTCACATCTGTTAAACTTGAAGTACTGCCAACGAATTATCCAGTCAAAACTGAGCATTCCACGCGAGATAACCAAATTGTAGAAGCAGATGTAGATATGGCAAGTCGAATAGATGAAATAGCAGAGCAATTCATAAACATTATAGCTCCATCACCTAACCCTGAAGAAACATTTTATGGCAATGACAACGTTATTAATACTGAAGCACATACATCCTTTCCATCAAAAGAAGTAGCAGAGGTTGAGAGTAAAACTTTTGTGGATTTAGATGATGGAACAGTAAATACATTAATAGGAGAGCAGGATCCGTCGTTACTGGACGTAATGCCTGCAACCCCAGCGTCAACATCTCAACGAGAAGTGGACGAGTGTGATATACAGCAAATATTAATGGATTTGTCGGATGGTTCGTTAGTTCTGGTTTCGACTTTAGATCCTGAAAACGCAGATCAAGTTGTAAATGAGATTTATATGATGGATAAAGTTACTGGTGAATTGTGTGAAAAACCATTAGATATACCAGAATCAATAGTGCAGTGTGTATTGTCTGTGATGAGCTAAAATAATTTATAATAAATTAAATACTTTTGAATTGATAAACTTATTTTTCCTACGCATGGCATTTTTAAAGGAAAATCTTAATACGTTTTATTTTTTACTATTTTATCTTTGTACATTTGTATTTATTTATTTTATGCTTCAATAATTTGCGATAAATTAAAACATCCATTGGTCTTTTATTTGGAAGGTTTTAGCAATTATTTTAGCCTATTCATAAAATATGTCGCGGTAAGCATTCTTAGCAAAACTTTTGGCGAATAAAAATATAAATTTAAATTTTATAAATGAGTAGTTGTCCCAGGAATATGTGTAACCTGATTGGTAGCAATCTTTGTGTTATTTATTCTTATCATGAAAAGTGGAATAGCAATTAATGTATTCAAATGGGTAGTATTTAAATAAGTAGGTGCACTATGAGATTAGATATGCGAATATAAGAAAAACGTATATTATTTTATATTTTAATTAAACTACAAAATGTTTCTTCAATATATTTAGGTATCAGAAAATCGAACTATAGCTTTATCTCAATATGTTTTCCACTATTCGGATTCAATGAAAATTTTTGTGTTAGATTTATGAGAGCCTTTCACTCGAATAATTTCGTAAGCTAGCGTGAATTAAGGAGTTTGGTATTTATTATTGTTTTATATTAACTAAACCTTCGCTTTATGTGTTCCGAAAGGTATAAAATACTAAAAAAAAAAAATATAATCTATTTTTTAATCTTGATTTTGTAACTTATGTACACGCAATTTGCCCTCATATCCCACCGTCAGTAAATCTGTATCGCTGCGCCAAACAGCATCACGTACTAAATTCTCGGATTCGGTATTTTCGTAGATGGAAACATTATGATGCTCGTCAACTACCTTAATTACGTTTGTATCGCCTATAATTGCCAATTTTTTTCTAAAAGTAAAATAGTTAAATTTTATTTCGACATATCACAGATCTTTTCTTACCCTTTTGGTGTTATTTTATGAATTGGTCTGTTCAAAATCTTAGTACTCTGCAAAAAGCCTTTGGGCAACCGCGTATCAACAGTGTGAACAAAACCCGACTCATCTCCCAAAAACACTAAGTGTTCGTTACTACCTGACCAAGCTACATCCTTGAAGCGCGAGGGGGAATGCTCATACAATCCTATTAAATTAAAAAAAAAAATAGTTACATATGTATATTCAGTAGTTTTATTATATATGTGGTACTACATACCTATCGCTGGTCTCGTCAGCCTTTCATCCCAAAGCAAAGCACTTTGATCAAATGAGCAGGTGGCAAAAACTGAAGTATCGCTATGCGATGTTGCAACGCCGGTTATTACATCTGTATGAGCATACCGAAATGTATGTATAGAAAACAGATCCGCAGAACCCATATCCCAGACCTTTATAATATTTATTAAAAACTTTTTATTAAAAATAAAAAACTCATATAAATACCTACTTTTAATGTGCCGTTTTTGTCACCGGTAACCGCATGATCCAGATTAATTTTTGTAGCCAAACAAGTAATTGGACGCATATGTTCACACTTTTCGCCAATTAAGAACATGCAGTAAGGAGTTTGTGGATTACGTACCTCTGATCTTGTAGACCATACTTGTACGCGGCCCGAGCGCAATGCTACGATGAACTGTAAATAAATTAAAGGCGTTAAGCAAGTATTCTTTAGGTACAATTTAATATTTTGCTCAATTTGTAAGAAAAGAGGTCGACTCGAGGATTGAACATAACATTTGTGGTATCTTTTTACAGTTGCAAATGGGTTGAATTTCTGTTATAAAGTGAATATTATGAGCAAAATACTAAATCATACCTCAGATAATTCTTTTAATTAGACTGACAATATTTTCTGTAACAAAATCGAGGCAGGATATCAATGACTGGCATTGCAGTTTGTAGGCAGCGTTTGAAGGTTTCAGCATGCTTCCATCGCTAACATCTTCAAATCCCCATAATGATCCTGACCACTCACGTCCCGATAATTTATTTGTCCCTATAACTGCCTGTTGTTCGGTGTTCAGTGATAAACATTCCCAAGCTTTATGCATGCGGATATGACGATTAAGTGGTCTCTTTGCGTAGTCACGCGAATTCAAATTGGGGTAGTTTGTATTGCCCGCGAGTTCGCTGTCATCGGGTGGTTGATGTTGTTCTGGCATTCGAAATATCAAGCCATGCTTTGTTGGAAACATTTTTTATAAAATGAATGTGAAATTGCAAATGAGTTGACTATTGCCAAAAAGGAAATTCTTCCTTCAAAGTGATTGTGTTGATGTTTTCGTTTTTGAGGTTATAATAGCCGGTTGTGAAAAGTGCTGCCACATTTCTTGTTTTTTAAATTCGCAATTTGAGCCGATAAAAGCAGTAGGAATTGAGGAAGCCACTGAAGCATCAAAAACCATTATTGAAGCCTATTTGATGCTTGGCGTTATACTGATATATTCCGACGAATAAAACAAAGCAAAATTGATACCGTCAATGTTGTCGTTGTTGTAACAGCAAAAATATTCCTCAAAGTAATTTTTGGAAAATGTTGCGGGAGTGACAGTCCCGAGCTGTTTCGACGGGATTGGACCAAAGGGAGAGGGAGGTTAGATGAGATTGTTAAGGAAGAGGTGGTTAGTGTCGTGCGGATACTCTCCACATGTAGGGCATAAGTTGGATATGCTGGGGCCGAGTCTGGATAAGTAGGAGTTCAACCTGCTACCATACGGCGGGTTACACGTCGCTTCGTTTTGTCTACCGAAGGGTGCAGTGTAAAAAGTCGGTTAAAATAGCTCGTGCATCTCTTCGGGCCCGACGAGGCGCGATCACCGAATGAAATATCCACTCGGTCATCGCGTCTCATCAGGTTAGACAATGACTTGACTGTAGACCAGAGCTTGGTTGCTCCAGAGAAGAGGTTACAGATACTTAAGTACTCCTCCCGCTTGTGGTTGTTTACTTCTCTGCGAGTTTAAATCCCTGATTAGGGGATTCCCGGCATCGGAGTTTCGAAGGGTAACGGGCCTGGATGCTGGTACCGCTGCTTCCGTAGGAAAATTTGGGTGGATTTCCACAATTCAGCCTGACGGGATCACGACGACTCTGCGAAATAAACGCAGTGGTGACGTCTGATGGAGTGGGGTGAGCACTAAAGGCGTTCCCGGTGAATTCCTTGAAGCCGGGCCAGTTAGATTTTTTGAAGTTAACAAATGCCCGGTGATCCGCGGAAACAAAGTCGGAAGGCCTGTCAATCGAGATTTGAATGGGCAAGTGGTCCGATACTAGTGTCAGTACAGGTCGCCAGACTATACTGTTTATCAGACCAGCACTTGCAATTGTTATATCCGGCGAGCTTTGGCTATTACCCATAACTCTGGTGGAAGTATTATCGTTCATTGTGCAGAATGTCGAATCGTCTATCTGTTCTACCAGCTCTATTCCTCTACGGTCATTTAACAGGCTAGAATGCCAAAGATCGTGATACGCGTTAAAGTCGCCCAAAACCAAACGGCTTTCACCCCTGAGTAGCGTACCTATATCAAGGGTGTATCCTACTGGGCAACTTGTAACTGGATGAATGTATATATCAAATATCTCGAGCTCGGCATCGCCTGTCCGGATAGCTATGCAGACATTCTGGGGTGGTACCCCGGCGGTCGATGTCGACGTCGATAAGACGATACTGCACGGGGTTGTGCAGGATGAACGCTAAGCCCCCACCATGGTCTCGCTCGCGATCCTTGCGGATTACGTTGTATCCGGCCCTGCTCAGAAGATCTGATCGGGCGATCAACTTCGTTTCCTGGATCGCAGAAATTGACAGGTGCTTCCGGCTCATATAGTCGACTATCTCGTCGATCTTCCCCTGGAGTTCCGTGAGACCGTAGAGGTCTGTTGATTACCTAAAGTGGGTAAAGGTGCTGAAGGCACTGCCGTGGATGCTGGCATTGGGGTACATAACTTGTGGTCCACTCCCTGTGGGTGTTAAGGCCTGAGCAGGTCTTAAGATGATTCCAACCATCGCACTGTTTGCACCTTACCGAGGTGGAGGAGTGGTGGAGTCTTTTTTGACACACGCAGCAGAAGTAGTCCGTCGGACCAGGGTTGGTTTCGATACCAGGTTAACGGGATTAGGTCACCCAAAGAGTGACAGCCCTTGGCCGGATAAAATCCGGGTTAACTTCGGTATGTAGAACCGGCTGTCTTGAGGAATTGTTCAGTAATCTTCATTACCGCCGGTGTTGTAGAGGTTGATAATGTGCTATCTGAGTGGCCGACACTCTTCGGTAGTATTCCAAGGTGAAACATCGAGAATTTAAAAAATTAAACAAGGGAATCCGCAAGGTGGTGTTTGGCCAGGATATTGACGACCTTTGTTCGAAAGTGAACGGCTCTCTTGCCGACCTGTCCCATTTTTAAACTGCAGGACAACTTAATATCCAACCAACCAAATTCTCGTCTACCCTCTTTACCATCTTGACGAAAGAATGGAGGTTAGAATTATGATGACGTAAAAATTCCGACCATTCCCAAAAAAGTACTTTAGAGAATTTTTTTGCAGTTACAACAACAACAACAACAACAAAACATATAAAACAATTGCTGGACAGTACGGCGTAGACAACGAGCTTGAGCTGCCTCGAAAGACCCGCGTGACACTGGCAAAAGTCAGGTCTGGATATTGTAGCAGGTTAAACTCCTACCTAAACAGACTCTACCCCAATACTCCGCCCGATACTATCCGATACTAACCAGATCTTCCTATGCCCCCTTAAACCGACATATCCCACCGACCCCGTCGAAATAGCATAATTCCTTGACCTCCCGTTAGAAGACCTCTGTGACTTCGATTAATTAACCTTTCAGAAGCGGGATTAAAGAAACCACTACACAACTACAAATTTCGAATAGACAAAAAACATAATCCAAATACATATGTATGTATGTATTTTTTTATAATATATTTGTTTTTGTTTAATGAAAGATATAAAAACAATTTAGAAACATTTCACAATAAATAATCCTGCAGTTGACATTGCAATGCTTTTAGGGTGTTACGCAACTGTTCCGTATCTGGCTTTTGGTAACAAAAATTTAAACAAGTCGAAACGATATCCTGTGCTTTTCCAAGTATGCGCCTTTTGGAGCGGTGCCATATGGTACGTATGTTTCCACATAATAAGGTTACAACACGTATGGAGGACTGCACTAAATGCCATTCATTACCCTCGTTTGCCCAAACACGTTCATTCATTGAAATCATTCTGAAGTAGTATTCCATTAGGAGCTCAATGTCTATATTCATGGAAACTAGCTTATCTGGCACAATACCTTCTGGAAAACGGAGCTGACAGGCTTTCAATTCAAGTTCACGTATGATAAAAGCCAACGGAAAACAGTGGCCCGACTCTCGAAATTCTTTAACAAGAGATTCGATCTTAATAAATAATCGCGTGCAACGCTCCTGTATGCTGCCAGTACCTTCAACGGCTTTATTAATAATTTGACTCCAAACTGTTTCAATTAATAGGGGATCATTATGATGTGAACAGTTAAGTATGGTAAGTTTACATTCCCACAAATCAAAAGGATCGGCAAATTGTTGATACAGTTGTGTTATATCGTATAATGTAAAATTGAGCTTATCTATAGCTTGCAGTAAATTGTGAGCCGGTCTGACGTATGCGGAAAGTGTATCTAATATAGATTTTTGTACACGCGCTATTTCAAGTTTATCTTCAAGTTCTTTAAGCAAGATACCATTTGCAACTGAATACCCTGAACTATCATTACGCATGCACATTACTGCCCTTGCCAAATATTCAATTCGTTGATCAAGTGATATTGATTCGCTTTCAGTGCTTGCTAAATTGTCTAAAATATGTGCTGCTTCGGCATGGCGACCATTCTTTTCATAGTACTTCCATAAAAGATCGACTAAGTTTAGGTTTCCTGGATTATTTACTACATTTCGTCGCAGAAACTCACCCAAGCTTGGTTCAGGTAGTGCTAACAACTCAGAAATCATATCATGACCCATCAACCATTGATATATTGTAATATGCAGAAGCGGATCCTTTATTTGCATTGCTAAATTTACTAGCTTACGTATTTGTGCACTAAAACTATTTTCGTTAGTATCACAAATTTGCCGTTGAAATTCGAACTCTTGTGTTTCATTAACATTACAATAATTCTGGTAGATGGTATCCAACATCGAACGTACTTCTTTGTAGCATGACATGCGAGAGGAATATGCCGCATATCCTTCACTATCTTCAGTGGGCTCATCGCTATTATAATAACGTATACCCAATTCCTCCGGATCGATTTTTTTTGCGCAAGTAGCCGTTAATTCGATTACACCCTCCCCGAAACCGGCTGTTGAAAATTGTTGGCATATGTTTTGAAGTGGTAAATTTGGCGCAGCATCCTTACAGAGCTGTAGTGCTGTTCTCAGCTTTTCATGCTTACCCTCAGATGCCTCACAACTTTTAGCTGACATTAATATTTCAGTGGCTTTGAAAGTAACAGCATCTTCGTGACGATATAGATTGGGACAAACTTCTCGCAATTTGGCTGAAATAATACTAACGCTAGCGTTATCTTTGAGATACGAATTAATTAAAACTGCTATTAGTAGTGCACACGTTTCAGTTCGCGTGAGCGTAAGATCACGAAATGAACATGAACTCAAGGTTGTTTGTTCTTCTTTAGCTAATTGAGTGACCAAAACTTGAAACTGATGCTCACACAAAATTTTCCATAGCGACATGACTTCACAAACATGTTTAACCAATTGATATAAAGCACGTAGTGATTGTTTTTCCTCATTTTGAGCTTTCTCCGTTACATTTCTTTGATCTTGGGATGCGAGCTGGTTGTGTGACGGTAAAGAATGACTAAAACCATTCGAAATACTTGATTGATGAGTTGAGTAGCTACTACGGGTCATACCCGACAACTCAGTCACGTTGTAGGCATCCATAAAAACCTTAAGTGCAAACAAGTCTTCCAATATTAGCGTACAATCCGCTTGAGTTAAAGTACTACATAAATTAGAATCAACACAGCGCTTTTTCCATATTGGTCGTAATAGGCGAGCGACATACAAATACAAGCCATCATGTTTCGGAGAATATACTACCGTAGAGTAGTCATTGAGAATCAAACCATCATGGCCAGAATCTTGTCCTGAAATCGGACTTAGAGGGAATTGCGACAGATGCATTGAATGTTGTACTTGTGGTGATCGTGGCATTTGGAAACCACCACTACCGCCACCATGTGGCATAGGTGTTGAAACAAACATTGACGGTGTATTGCGATCCATTCCATAATGTCCGATATTTAAGGCAGGGTTCATAGAGTTAACCTTTGAGGTGCCACCTTGAGTATTCGCAAGCATTTGATAGTGATAGTATGGCTCGCCGCCATACAATAGAAATGCCTGCGCAGCCCATAATGCTAAATCGGTATTACGATATTGATCTGAGCATGCTATAAGTAAAGAAGTTGTGCAGGCCTCACTTTCTGTTTGTATTTGAAAGAATGTTTTAACGGCTTCATTATGAGGTCCATTGTATGTTGTGAGTAGTTGCTGCAGTATATCCACAGGTTTAAGTAAAGCAATTATATGCGCACCTTGGTTTGTCAGCAGTACCACCTTTTTCGGTTTTTTTGACTTACGTAAAACAGAGTTTAGGTTTGATTCACACTTATCACGTACTTCAGATAGACTCCACACAATACCATCCAAATTAAGCATTGCAGTAGCTTCGGCTAAATATGGGCGACTGAGAAAAGGCGCCGAGCTAATTGACCATAAATGATCTTGATCTTGCTGTGAAGTGGACACCAAGAGAAGAGTGCCTTCACTATAATATGCTGAATGTACCTGTTTAGGTTTGTTAATTGTAGTATTAGGTGTGTATCCAGGCGGAAGACGAACATGATATAAATATAAACCTTGAGGTTTGCTAAAATCTTGTGTTGCCTGTGATGTATTTAAAGCAGGTGAAGTGGGATTAGAAAAATTTGTACAACTCTGCATCTGAAGATTCTGTGAAAATTGTTGTTGCTGAGGCTGTTGATTAGGATTCAGTGCTGTACTTAAAGGCCTAATAGCGAAGAATAAGCGGACACCACTCTGTGTAATTGCAAGTAAATTTAAATTTTGACTGTCATCACTTGATAATGGACATATTGATTTAATTTTAGTAAATATGCTATTGTCAACGGTTTTTAATATACTGCTTGCTCTTTGTGTGATTTCATTCTGTGATACTCGCGCAAATCGACGCATACTGCTACAGTCAGTGCCTATATTCCATGCTTCAATAGAGCCTTTTTCCGTTAGTGTATATAGAAGTTGACGATTGTCATCGATTACTATATTAACAATAGGATCATTTTCTGAGAATAATTTTAGAAAGCTAGGCACCATTGCTGATACCATGCTTTGCGAGTGGTTTACTTTTTTACAGCGCTTTCCAAACCAACTGGAATCTGCATGGTAATCTATTTCATAGAGGCAGCCATCTCGACCACCGAGGAAAATTCGTCCACTTTGACTACATTGCACAACATTAATTGCGACATTGTCTGAATTCAATATAAATATTGGTTTATTCATGAGCTGCATTTCTTCAAAAGTTGTAGTGCTTTGCATATTTCGCATTGGAGATGAAATGATTTTTGTAGTATCCGCAAATGTTACGCCCAGAACAATAATTTCAATAGGCGTTGTCAAAATTAACAAATATTTAACGTCGTTAATGAAAACTCCTGCTTTAGGCTTTGCCAAGCCTACACTCACAATTAAATGATTCAAACCATCATAATAAGCAACATCGCGTGCTTGTTCATATGTCCAAATATAGATTTCCGAGTCAATTGTTAACCAGGCTCTTCCTATTTCCGGGAACAGGCCCATCATACAGTGACATTTTATATGTTTGAAATGTTCCAATATTTCTGACGGTATAGGAATTTTATTAACCGTATGTACTTGCGATGCTGATTTTGGGCCCATAGATAAGCTGGATATATTTTGATAGTCATAATCATTCAGCCCACTTGCTGTGGCGAAACCATGTTGGGCTACTCCTGTTAGATTTATTTTTACATCTAGCAAGCCGGGCGATGAACTATCCCTTATGTCCATTCTTTCCAATATGTTCCCAGCTAAATCCAGAAAATCGACTGGACTAATTGACGGCATTTTGTCTTAAATTACTATAAAATAAAGGAATGGTTTATTTAATATTCGTACATCATACTACACTATCTCACCTACAGCAATTTCACATAAACGAATTATATTGATGATTAGATGTCTAAAGTCTCCCGCGTGCATTCAGTGCCGGTTACGAAATGCTTGTATATCTGTTTAATTTCACTTCACAAACTGTTCAGCTTTATTTTTTTACGAGTGAATATTTTAAGAGTTTGATGTATTTTCTCAGTGATTGTGCTAAACTTCCTTAAAATTAAATTATATTTTTATCAGCCAACACACTCCAAACATTCACACTCGTTTTGCCGCGAATCCTAATTGCATTGTTATCGGATAGAGTAAAAATATCGGCGATATTCTCCATATATCGATATCAATAATTTCTGTATCGAAATTGTTGAATTAATTATAATTACACAAAACAATTATTGAACCCAATTATAGTAAACGAATTGGTTGGAAATTTTACCTAATAGTTTAATTTGAATTATCATTTATTTAAAGTGGTGCAGATAGAGAAAATTAGGCTTAATTCAAATAGCACAGAGTGATTCATTTCGGCAAGAAAAGTCATTAAGAGTTAGCCAGTAATGAAATTGAGAGAGCAAGTGAGAGCAAAGAACGTATATAAATCATTCATTTACGTTCTTTGGTGAGAGTACCTTACTCTCCCAAAAACTGTGTCTTTGTTGCGACCAGCAAATCCTCCATAAGAGAAGGCAAAATCTGTATAAGTCATCGAAATCATCTAAAGGGGCTCCAGGAAAAGGGTTCTTTCGACGCTTTCCATAGAGTCTTTTAAATCGAGTACTCCCTGGCAGATATGGCTGAGTGTTGAGACGTCACATCTTTCCCGGTGCAGTTTATTAAATTTAAATCAAGCGAAATGTTCTCAAAAGTTAGTTGATAGAACTCTTAAAGATGCACAATGACAGTCATTTTTCCGGACTTTCAGATACGATTGCGCAACCGTAGCTGCTTACAGAAAGGCTTATTAAGAAGGATTTTTAAAAATATTTTTTAAACTTAAAATAATTGATTGAAATAAAAACATCAAAGTATTTACATATAATTCTTTCAAATGGTTATTTATTCGGTTTCTATAACTCATTTACATTACTGTTGATTTCATTTTTATGCGCATGGTTTACATATGAAAGTATGTATGCAAGAATTATTTCCGTAGCTATGATCGAACAAAATATTTCAAACACCCTTAACTATGCATTTAATTCATTACAAACTGTGTTAGTTCATTCAATAATATGTATATTTAAAAAAGTGTTTTTATATTTATATGCAGGAAATACATATTTGTGTTATCATATCCAAAGATATTAATTACTAAACCGTTTAAATAGCAACTTTCGTATCCGTTGTATTACATTTTATTATTTATTCATGCAACTCTTACATCACACTTCATTTATCAAAAAAAAAAAAAAAAAACAAAAATCAAATATAATATTTTAAATAAAACCTTTCATACACTTATCAATTTTGGTAATACATAAATGTGTGGTTTCAACCCAAATAATTCCTTAACCAAAAAGGTGTTAAATTTTTAATTTTCTTCTAATTTATAATTTTAAAAAAATTTGTTGTAATTAAAACACAGTAAAGACTATAAAAATAATCGTAGCACAAATAAGAAGATTTAAGAAAAACTTATTCAAAACTAATAGTTCACTTCATTTTTTATATATAATGCTTTCAGCATTGATATCTTATAGATTTGTCTGTTAATTCACTGAGCTTCAATACCGATATTATTCATTGTTGTTATCCTTTATGTATTAAGTGCCTTCCACCGCTTTGCTAAGCGTTAAATATTTAATCCAATTTATTTTTTTGTCATAATTTTTAAATATTCTAATGCATTTTGAGCAGCCTGCTTTTGAGCATCAACTGCTGTTGGTCCAGAGCCATGGCAAACTCCAATCGGCAATGTTGACAGCTGAACCAAACACTGAGATTGATCAGTGAAAGTCTTCTCTTCAATATCAACGTATGTAACTTCAAACTGATTCTCGTTAGCAATCTCGAATAATAGCTTCACAAAGTCAATTTTGGGACCTTTTAGACAAGTTTTCTGTAAAACAAAAAGAAAGAAATTATTAATTATTATTATTAATTTTTTTTTTTTGACGTTAATAAAGGGTAAATAATATACTTTCTAAATAGGCTCAAAAATGATAAATAATCCTTGATGTGAATATTTAGCGAAGCTCATGACGTATTGCAACGTTTTATAAACAGCTGTATACATACTTCAAACTGAATAAATTTAAATGTCAATATGTACTTTTTTATGGTCCTAATAAACAATATACATACGTAATTCATTTAACATATAAAAAGTAATGTTAAAAATATGGTAAAAAAGACAAGAATGCAAATAGTGTATTAAGAAGAGAGAGAAACAGTGCTTTAACGGTTGCCAGTTAACGGTTATTTAAATAAGTTAAGCAGCTCGTAATTATGCAGAAATTTACATAGATTGTAATGCATTTCCATATACATATGTATGTATACCTGCATACTTTTACATACAAAAATTGGTTGAGTTAACTTTAGTCATATTTTGTTTCTAACAGGATATGATATTTAGATTTATTTTTATTTATTTATTTAATGACCTCTAACAGTTAATGTATTAAAAAAAATTTTCTCTAGGCGTTATCTGTTAACCATGTCTGTTGTGGAAAAGTGCACACTTGAAAATAGTATAAGTATTAGATACTGCACTGACAAAACAAGCACGTCCACAAATACACCATCCATTGTACAAGTAAAAAATCAAATATCACACAAAATTTATGTAAAACATTGAATGCCTCCTAATAACATTTGCATAATGTAATTGATAGCTCACCTGCAACTTGAGTAATTTCTTTCCGTTAGCATTTTTGAGTGTTTTATGGAACTGTGAGACCTTATTACTATGCTGGCTGGTTAATGTGGGCACACTGATATCTTTCAAATCACCATAATAATTTGAACAGTTACGATTCTGTAAGGAGAAAAAATAATTTTGGATCATCGTTTAGCAGTTAACATTGGAAAGGGATAAAACATGCGCAACAGGCATGTGGGGATGTCTGAATGTGATCAATAACATAGAAATACCAGCTCGATCCAGTCGGGTTTATTAGACTGGTTAGCAGTGTGAAAAATTGGCAGTTTACAAATCTTAGATATGGTGACTTGAAATATATCAAATATTTTTTTAACTAGTTTCAATGAAATTATTTAATACATTAATTCTTACTTACATCACCCTCGAGATCAGCACGCATTGCCTCAGATATTTGATTGTTATCCAAGGGATTTTCTTGCAAACGCGTCCACATCTTATGTGCAGCTAAACGTTTAGCGATTTTCTTACTTTTCCCCTTTCCAACCTCACGATAACTGAGAATTGAACAGGCAATGGTAAATAGCCGCTCATGCGGCAATCCAACCTCTGTTTCGGTCTCATAAGTTGGTGGTGGCCAACGACGAGACATGCACATCTCCTGTAACCAACCTATTGGGTTTCCAACTATTTTATCGGCACCACTGAAAGCGAAAAAAGTTTAAAATTATTTCTCTTGAATTCTTATGTACATATGTATGAACATAAAATAGTTCGAAAGTTGAGACTTACTCGCCGCTTCCAACACTTGTATTGGCTTCAGTTGAGGCATTTGCAGATGTTGTACCACCGGGCGATGTATTAATACAACCAATGGTATTTGCCTGCGTTGAATCGGATAATGGTACACCTATCAATTTATCGATTAATGCACGAGCAGATGAATGTTTAGCCTCTTTTTTGGAGCGTCCCGCGCCCATTGCTGTAAAAGTAACTTCTTTATCATTGAAAGCAACACGATAACGAAATGTAGGCTCATGAATAGCTCCCTCAATTTGCACCAACTCATAATTTGGAGTTATTCCCCGGCGACTCAAAAGTTCTTGCAGAATCGAAACGGGAGTTTTCATAGCCAGACCATTGCTGTCAGTCTGTAAACATAACAAATTAGTTAGTTATATCCATCCGAACGATGTCAAAATAAAAAATATCCTATTCTATTAATAAGCCATAGCGGAGCCTACATGAGATTATTTTTCAATAATAAGGATATGTCAAAAACTCCTAAGATTGAACATATTTTAAGAAGCAGTTAAGGTTTGGCAAATGTTAATTACTTAAGAAAGGCAAAAAATCTATTTCATACAAATATTACCAATTTTAGTGATTCCTCAATTGCCAATTTGCTAGTTGCAGCTGTAAGGTCGGAAATCTTATCCTTTTTTGTTTTAATGGGTCTCGATGTATTGTCAACTTTTGGCATATGACCGTTTGTTATGTTCTCAATGCCGGTGAGCACCGATGACCCAATCTCATCATATTGTCGTCGAGGTGCAAATCCAGTATGTAGCATCGGTTGGTGCTCTTGACCAATCATATTATCCATTATTCTTTATTTTTTATTTATAGATGAATTTTTATTTTGAAAACGCTAGAATATAATAAAAAATATATAGTCACTTATTGATACAAAACAATCACCGAGTTATGAAAAATCGATTTTCGGAATGTCAGCTAAAAATACAGCACACATCTGATTTGTTTTCTCTACACAATTTACTTTCTGGGTGATAAACAATAAAGTGGTTGATTACCTGCTTGCTAGTGATTTGCACTGATTTTTATTTAAAAATAAATTATAATTTGCATTAAATTTATCTTCAAATAAAGAGCAGCAAAATCCTTCTCTACGCGACGTAGAGAAAAAGCGAACTTGATCGAAATTATTATTAATTGTTCCCACTATTAATGGAAATGAAACCAGAGAATTTGGAGTAGAGTTGATAAACGTTCTCTGTTGAAACGTTCGTGACATGAGTTGCCAATTCGCCAGTTTATTACAATTGCACTTGAAATTCTCAATAAGATCGTATATTTGTCGAAATCAAAGAACGTATATGAATTCTTATACGCTATTAGGTAGTAAGAACCCAAATTTTTCAGGGGAAAAATAAAATAAAAGGGAACACCAAAATTTAATTAGGAATAGAAACACAAAACGTGGCGAACGATCACAGCGACACGGCGCGCATTCGCCTTCGTCATCTCCCCGACAAACGAGTGTTTCGTCGACGAAAAGTATCCTCGTGTAAGCTCAGACTAATACAACATTTTCAAATTGTCGTTGGAATTGAACTTAAATCCGTAAATTTCTACAACAGGAAAAACTCAAGACGTGGACAAGATTTTGAAGGACAAGCTCAAACGATAATCAATTAAACCTCAAATTATGATATGTATATGGACTTACCATACAAAAAATTTGAGAACTACAATATTAAAATTGTACTCTTAAACTGAAATAAGGGAATGTTACATTCTCCAAGAGATTGACCGCACATTAAAAGAGCATATAAACGGCAAAAAATTACAAAATATTTATATATTGCAACTAAGTATGTTTTCTAAAATTCAAAAAAAAAAAAAAGAATATTATTTTTTACTAACATAAATGCTTGTATATTCTTTATTGTTTATTAAATTAAATGTATACAGAATGCTTTTGATAAACCGCGACACTAATAACTTCTTAGTAGTTGCGCTTCAGACATCCACTATGCATATGAATACAATATCTCTTCTCTTCTTTTGACAAAAATGTTTATTATTATTGTTAAATGGAGGAATGAAGAACAAACCCCCAATGCAAGAAAATCCTTAATAAACAATTCGTATGAGAAAATAAGTTTCTAAATGTAAATGTAATAATTGTATATGGTATTTGGAAATTACTGTTTATGAAGCTTGACTTAGTCATCGCTTAGAAAATCATCATCTAAATTAACATCTGTCGTATCGATGTTATCATCCAACGTTACACCCTCGATTTCAAGATCCAACTCATCGTCAATGTCATCACCGTCGTTTCCTAGTCCATCTGATGATTTATTTAAAATAGAAGCTGCAGCCGAACTGGTAGCAGCGGTAAACGGTACTTCGTCTGTAAAGTCATCGTTCTTCTTATATAATTGCACACCGGGTTTATTAATACTCTCAAATATTCCACGTTGTTCTGCTGCATGCATTTCTTCAATTGGCTGACGTTCGATATTAAGTGGTAGTTTAGAAGCAGCACTTGCCGGTAATTTTTCCTCTGTTGTCTTTTGTAGAAATTCTTCAACGCGTAATGCTTCACCGAATCCGGGGAAGAGATTTTCATATTTAGCTGGATCAGCCAGTGACTGACCAGCCTTTTCATTGAATTTAGCTAATTCTTCTCGCCAAAGTTCCACTACACGCGACATTTGACTGGGAATGTATGTACGTGCAAAGAAAGCCGCTTCGGGTAGACGATTAGTCTCAATCAATATATCTAAGCAGCGTTGAACATCTGCTCGCACAAATGATGACAGGAATGCGATATTGTGACGACCTTGATTTGAACTGCTCTCAGCAACCTCCTCTAACATTTTTTCATCACCGGAAGATGTCGCTAACAGCAGTAGACCGCTGAAATCATTTGCTTTCTGCATGCACTCCTTCACAAGCTGCATATTATTCTTGCGAGAGGCTACATCAGCTAATTGTGACCACTTCTGGGGATTCTCTGCTTCTCGTGCCAGTTTCAAAGCAACATCCAATTCACCAATTTGCAATGCCAAGTCGAATTTGTGATCGGGATCTGTTGACACTTGTAGTGCTTGCGGCTTAAAACCTTGTTTTTCCAAGAAATGTGCGACTCGTGTGCGATGCTCTTTTGGCACCGTTGGTAGTACCAAATCTGCTCTCTCAAAGTCGCTTCGCATAACAGCGGTTTGATATTCGAGGACAGAGAGTAAAAGAGAAAATGATATAACGTTAAGCTCCTTATCACCCAAGTATAAGCGATTGTCTTTAGGCACATAGCCAAGTAAATACATTGTACGATCCAAGTGGGATATCGTTACAATTTCCCCACCGACATAATAATTTATGCGATTCACAGAATTTGTGTATATAAAGCAGTCGCCAACCCATATTCCTGTCTTAACTACTTCGTTGACTTCACCTGCAAAACAATAAACAATATTAGTGGTTGTTAATGTAAGAAAGAAAAAAAAAACATTTCCCACCTAACACATCGAAGGCACTTTCAATACCATCGTCTTCTAGGCCTTGTTTACTTTCTAAAGCAGCTGCGATTGCTGCGGTGTCTACAGAGAGTATGAAATAAGATTCATCGGTGGCAAGACAGACTAATGAGCCAGATTCGTTCCAGAAAACATGACGTGGTTGCACTTCGATACGACGCACCAGCGTTAGTGAGTCCCAATCGTAGAATGCTAACCCAGATGACGTTTTCACTCCAAACAAAAATCCGCCATATATATTTTCTGCTCCGTATTCGGGTGTAAAGCTTTTACGTTCCTTAAAGTTACGGAAAATACGTACTGTTCCATTATTTTCGCGTATGGCATATTCATTGCTTTCCAAAGCCCAAACGAATTCTTGAGCGGATCCAAAGGCCTTATTACGTAGAGCCATAGACGTATAAATTATATATTCACCATCTCCACATACAACAACAAAACGGCCATTAGGATTATGTGCTATAGTCTGAGGATAAATCTCACACGCTCCCATATCTTTGACGGCAACTGGCAAACGTTCACCGTCTTTAATTTCAGTACCATCAGCCATTGCTTTTAAGTTGACCTATAAACGAATATTTAGCAAAATTAGGATTTATTTAAATATATTTTTACATTTACCTGTTGCATTTCAGAGTGTTTCGCCCAAATTATTTTAGAGCCAATTACATCCATTGACATGGCTGGTTCTTCTCTGCCGACTTTTATTATTATTGAACCTTCATCATAACCTAGAGCAACGTTGTTACTACCACGCATGCAGGATATTGTCCAAACGCGCTCGAATCCATAATTAAGACAGGTTTCTAAGCGATAGGTGCCAGAATGCCATATTCGAACTGTGCCATCCTCAGAGCCGGTCAAAAGAATTGGTAACTCTGGATGGAAACAAACCGCGGATATATTTTGAGCATGGCCCTCCAAAGTTTGTACGCAAGTTTTATTTTGATAATCCCAAATTTTTACTAGCCGGTCATCAGCACCGGAAATGAGATAGGGCTTATCGCCCCCATGATAATAATCGATACAATTAATTCCTTTTTCATGTCCTTCAAGGGTAAAGTTAGCAAATGTTGAACCAAGCTGCCAAACTTTTACTGTTCGATCGAGTGAGGCGGATGCAAATGTATTATTATCTTTGGGGTTGAAAACGATCTGCATAACGTAATGTGTATGACCCTCAAAAACTCGTTGACATGCCCACATTTTTTCCCAATTCCATAATTTTATAAGCATATCATCTGCATTATAGGTATTTAGTAGTATTTAACATAGATGTTCTGAAATTTCTTATACATACCACTGCTAGTCAATATCAACGGCTGTGTCGGGTGTACGGCAATACATCGGAGATAATCCGAATGGCCCTCGAACGAGTGCAGCTTTTCGAGGGTGTTATAGTTGAAAACTCGTATTTGCATATCATCGGATCCTGTGATCAACCAATTTTTCCGTGCCACAAAACGTCCGCAACGTACCGGCACATCACAAACTTCAAAATCTTTTACCAATTGTTGGTTCTCATAGTTCATAATGTGTACGTGGCCATTATAAAGTGCACACAACATCCATGGCTCTGTCGGATGTAGATCAACACATTTCACCCGATCCGAGCGCGAAGTTAGACGACGTTTAATGTCGAGTTTAAGAGGCATTTCGTTTATAAATTTACCTAAACTTTATTATAATATATATGCAATTTTCATAAAACTTATGAAAACAACACGAATATTTTAGCAGAAAAACGACGTTCTTATAATTGTCTTTCGCACTTGCACATATGAGAAAATTGAATGACGTTTCTCTTAATGACGAATGTCAAATTAGAATTGATAGATTTTGGCAAAATGGAAAAATAATAATGCACAGGGCGTCACAAGTGCAACCTTAATGGAAAATTTCTTGATATTGCCTAAGAACGTATATTATTATATACGTTCTTTGATATTACCATAGGAAAAAGGTGTTTAATTGTGAATTGGACGTAACAAGAGGTGAACAGAGAATCTTACTCAAGTTCTCTCAGATGAAGTTCTAAGAAAGGCCAACATAAAATGAAGGAAAAATTTTTTTGTTCTGACAACTGCTTCGCACTCCAGCAATAACTGAACTGGTGTTCCCTGTTTCATCTCGCAAAAATTAATTATGTAAGATTTTATTTAAAAATTGAAAACAGTGCACACAATCAGTTTCTGTATTGTTAAGTACAATTCCGTTATTAATGATTTGAAAATTATTTCTGGCAACTTTATAAAATGAAAATGGGACATAGATGGGAACAAAAAATTTCCCTTCTTAGAATCGGAAGACAAAAAAAGTAGCCGCGAAATATTGAAAAATGAATAACAGAACATTTTATTTATTTGAAACGCACTAAGTGAATAAATTTATATTTCTTTATTGTTTTTATATTATTATTATAATTGTTTCTGTGTAGTTTCGTTTAATTAATAAAATGGCGCGCCATGAAAATATTGCAACTCAAAGTCAAGCTTCTAGCATTTGGGGTCAAACCCAAAGCCAACCGATTGAGAATATTATCTGGGGACGTTTATATGGAAAAAATATTAAAATGAATTCAATAGGTAAGCCAATTAAAGATAGATTGAAATAAACTTAAAGAACAAAACCAAGTCTGTAGTACAGATCCTATTCGTTATTAATGTTATTTTATGTTGTAGATCTAAATTGCGATGAATTTGCTGCAGGTCGAGGGGAAGGCTGCAATTTAATGCTTACCTTAGATTTTTTGCCAGAAAAGATATTGTATCGCATATCGAAGGTTCATTTTACATTAAAACGTGTCAATTGTGATATTTCTTATCCGGTTTACATACATGTAAGTTAAATTTGACATACTTGATAATAAAAATAATTACAAAAGCATGTTTTTCAGGACAACTCTCGAAACGGAACCTTTGTAAATGGCGAACGAATTGGCATGAATAACGCACGGATTTTAAAGAACGATGATGTTATTTCTCTGTGCCATCCATCCAATAAAAGTAGGCATTGATCTTAACGACTTTCTTATAATTTTCTCATATCTTTTCCCGTTTTAGCTTTTGTGTTTAAAGATTTATGTCCGAATGAGGCAATGGGACTGCCGAATGAAATAACAAAGTCTTATTACGTGAGTCGTAAATTAGGATCCGGTGCCTGCGGCTTAGTGCGATTAGTATTCGATATACGCACGTGTGATCAATTTGCCATGAAAATGGTTAAGAAAAATCTTCTCAGCGAATGTAGTGCTATTACGCGCTACAAGCCTTCAAGTTCTAATGAAACTGAAAAGGTTCTCAATGAGGCAAATATTATGAAGAGTCTTTCTCATGTAAGTTAAAGTTGTCATAACTGACTTAAAGGCCTAATTTAAATATTACAATTTGAAAATTCTTTAGCCCTGTGTCATTAAAATGCATGACATAATTGACAGACCAGACGCAGTTTACATGGTTTTGGAATTTATGAAAGGTGGTGATTTACTGAACCGTATTGTAACAAATAAATATCTTACAGAACCTATATCCAAACTATATTTTTACCAAATGTGCCATGCTGTGAAGTACTTACACGATAAAGGTACGTTTGCAATTGATCCATATCTCTGTTATGCTAACGTTTAATATTTTCAGGTATAAGCCATCGTGACTTAAAACCGGATAATGTGTTGTTGGAATCTGCTAACGAAGAAACCTTATTGAAAGTTTCCGATTTCGGTTTGAGTAAATTCGTACAAAATGATTCCGTAATGAAAACATTATGCGGTACTCCACTATATGTGGCACCTGAAGTACTGCAAACTGGTGGACGAGGAGCCTATACAAAAAAAGTAGATATTTGGAGCCTTGGTGTTGTACTTTTCACTTGGTATAGTTGTAATTTTTACAATTTTTATTACAATTGTGTTAAATGTTTGTATATTTTCCATAGCTTAAGCGGTACCCTTCCATTCTCTGACGATTTTGGCACACCCGCGACTGAACAAATAAAACAAGGAAAATTTCGTTTCAGCCATCCGATATGGAGAAAGGTTTCACAACGCGCCACTACACTTATAAAAGAAATGCTGATTGTAGATCCGAAAAAGCGGCCAACAATTGATGATGTTTTGAAAAGCAGCTGGTTAAAGGATAAAGAAATGTTGCGTAAGGCTAAAGACTTGATGAACATTGAAACAATGGAAATAGAAGAGGAAGAGGAAAACTTCTTGCAACCACCAAGAAAGCGAGCCAGAAGATAAACTGATTTATGTTTATTTTTTAATATGTATATACAATTATTATATAATCTAAGTATTATATTCATTTACCAACTGTTTTCAGCGTAATCTGTGTATCATAGATTTTTTCTTTAAATGTATCATTGATTAAGATGGAAAATGTAATCTTCATTTTTTTCTATCTACCAATTCTTGACATTTATCAAGATAACTGGTAGCTGTATACGGCTACTGATACTCGTATTTTGTAATAATTGTAATTGAAATAATTATCTTGACTTGCATGAGTACTTTGAGATTACTTATGAACGTTTAGTTATAAAAATTTTTTTAAGTTTTTGATAAGTGTATACTAAAAGGAATAATAATATATTGATGTATTTTGATTCCATTTAAACCGATTTAAGTAATGGAAAGAAATTATAATGATTATGTTGACTGTTCTCATCGTCGTATAGTTTGTAATCGTAAAAATTCTTAAGCAGAAAGGTTTAAAGATGAAATGTGTGCCAAATTATTTTAATTTACCTGAAATAGTTAAATGTTAAACTAAAATTTTTCAATAAACCCAAATGAAATATTTGATTTAATATTTTATATATTTTTAGAGATGCAAAACAATATTTTTCATAAAGTAATATATAATAGTATATAGATACACCGTTCCCTGGATGTTAATTAAATTGTAGTGAGCGGAATCAAAAAACGACAAGATTTCTTCAATTTTTTTTTATTATGTAAAGGGTAACAATTTTTTCATGCATTAGTTTTCAATGTTACTGTGTTAATCACTGTAAGGTTAGCAGATCAACTGCGATTATAGCGATTTCCATCTCCACGTCGTACAACATCTTTGTACTCATCCATGCGACGCATGCGCTCCAAGTACTCTGGATCGTCGTTCTCAATTTGAACCTCTTCAATAGCCTTTTCCTGGTCCTCTTTTTCATTGGGATCTTGAGCTGCAGCTATTGCTTGATCTCGATTCATTTTGGCAACCTTCTCTTCATCAGGAAAAACTCCATCACGGACACGTTGGTCGTAAAACTCATCGACTGTCATAACTGGCAAGCTTGGATATCCCGCTCCGAATACTGCCTTTTGTGCGGAATTGCGTGTAATAATAAATGGTTGCATTGGTTTTCGTTTTGGTTGCTGGTGATGGTGATGATTACGATGTGAGTGTTCAGCTTGCTCTGTATTAGTTATGGCTGCAACGTCGGCAAAATTTTGATTTGGTTTATTACCACCTGCAATATTCATTGCACGCATATCTACCATTTGTTTTTCCAATTTAATACTATCCAATTCCTCATTTGCATCGATAATACTTTTGTTAAGAAATTTGATGAAAAATTCCCTACGTACTTCCTCATCAACGCTTTTATTGCGCACAGCTAATTTCATTTTCTTTACGAATTCTTCTAATTCTTTTTTCTTGCGAAATTGTGCAATTTTGTCGTTGCGTGCATGTGCAGCACGCATTAACTGTGCCAACTCGTTTGTATTACCACCTTCAGATGCTACGTTCGTTTTAACATCTTCACATAATTCGTATTCCTGACAACGTTGTAAGAAGTCTCTGCAAATTTATTGGAAATAATTATATTAATATATAAAACGGTTTGCTATTTTTCTTACTTGAAATATACTTCTGCAATGTTAAGTACTTCGCTGCGATCTTCCTGTTGTAGCTTTAATGCTACTTTACCCAAAAAGAAAGGGAGCAGCAAGTATTGTAAGGAATCTGTTGATATTTCGTCTATGATTTCGTTTGAACTAAATAGACCTATTTGATTGATTACAGTCGTGGCTTTCTCAAAATCTGACATCGCGTCCTTAACTTTGCGCTGCGAAGTATACAATTATTTTGCCGTGGATCACCTCGCTACTTATCAAAACTTACTTGATATTCTGTGGAGTTGAAAGGCAGAGAAGTCTCTTCCAATTCTTCGAAGCTCTCCCAACCTTTAGAGAAAAGTTCCAGCAAACTTTCATCAGCACCGGTCTGTGAGTAATCGCAATTATCCTTATTCGACATTGGTAATATGTAAATTACTTTTACTGAAATGAAGTTTTTTTTTGCCTAGATGTTTGTATATATTATAACAAGAGTTTACTTAGTTGTTGAATAAATGGTGTTTCTGTGAAATGCAAGGTGTTCGTAGAGTAAATTAGTTTCTCAAAACGTTTGAGAATTTACTTCGAAATAAATAATAAATCTTCAATTGCTAAAAGTTTTTACTTCCGAATAATGTGCCTTTTAACAAGCGTGATACAATTTGTTATATGAATGAAAAAACTCTTTTAATATCTAAACCATTGCTAGGAATATTTGAAATAAAATCGCAGAATATTTGCAGCAATTGCTTTATTGGATTAGATTGTGCACCCTGCAATTTCATTTACACTTTGACTTTTCTAGACATTTGTGAAATGTTTACAATTTTTGCAACTGATCTCCGATTTTATAATCATTCTACTCATAGCTAGTAAACAACAAAGTTCATATAAAAGTATAATTATTTATAGATTTTTCTAAAGCCCAAAATGGGAGATTATGATTCTGATGATGAGAAATCGCAGATTGAAAAGCTGCGATATGCAAAAGTGCCGCGAGGGATGTTTGTTAGCGGCTGGGATGACGATGCCGATGAACTTATCGAAGAAGACAACAATCCACAAGGTAAATTCTAGGACTCAAATTCTTAGCAGGGATTAATATATCCGACTTTCTATAGCTAGTATTGAAAGAATGATTCTGTGGGCAGTAAATGAAAATAAGATCTCTGAAGTACGCGATATATTAAAATTAGATGCTGAAGCCGTATTTGCTAGAGACGATGACGGCTATACACCTTTACATCGTGCATGTTATAACAATTTTGTCGATATAGCTAAATTACTTCTAGAGTACAAAGCTGATCCAAACGCTCGAACAAATCTTGGATGGACACCATTGCATTCAGCTTGTAAATGGAGTAATGCAGAATGTGCAGCATTGCTGCTACAACATGGATCAGATGTAAATGCTAAGTCAGAAGGGGAACAAACACCTCTGCATGTAACTGCAACTGTATCTAATTGTCGAAATACAGCTACTGTACTTTTGATGAATGAAGAAATAAATCCTCGTGCATTAAATAATTCAGAGGAAACAGCGGGAGAAATTGCGAGACGTACCGGCATGACATTTCCCGTTTTTGAGATGGGCCATCAAGCTTATGACGTAGAAACTGGTATAATTGACTAATTGTCATGTAAAACTAGATATAACTTTTTCATTACTTATGTGTATAAAATATTTTTTGTTTATTTCATTTTTTTTTTTATTTTTATTAATATGAGATTTAATCTTTTAAAAATATTTAAAGTAAGCGGAATACGTTATGGTTAATAAATGTAATAAATATCTAATTAAAATTTAACCGGCTTGGGGATTTCTTAAGAAATGTTCGTAAAAGGATTTTGTATATTCAACCATTTGATCTTGCATCGCTGCTGGAACAAAATTTGGATTTCCTTGCCCACCCTCAATTGTTCCTTTCGCTGTATAACGCATATAACTAGCAACTGTTGTTTCCGGTGGTAATACAGCGCCGTCCTCAATGATACAACAGTCCTTAAGCGCGCAACGACGTCCCTGTGGAAAAATATCAAAATTATTTTGAGTGTTAAAATGATTATTTTCACTATATTGGCTCCTCAATAAAATTTCTAAGCATCTTTACAAGTATTGTTTTGTTGGCCAACTGAGAAGTCAAATACAGTTCAATTAAAACATGAATTTTTTCTGGTCTGTAGATGTTATTGTTATTGTGGCAACCACAAAAATATTCCCCGAATTGGTTTTCGGGAAATGTGGCTGGAAAGACAGTCATTGACCGTATAAAAAATTCGGGTCATTCCATCCTAAAGACCCGACTGTCGCGAGAAGTACGGATTATAGACGGCAGGCATGCCTTACAGCGGAAAACTATTGAACCTCTACCCTGATGGGGCATTTAGGAAGTTTATCACTTGTATATATTATCTTAGGAATTTATCATTTTAAATCCAGTTAATTTTTGTACTCACAATAATTGCATTCTTTCCTATATACACAAACGATCCAATTGAGCTAGCCGATACGACCGCGCCTTCTCCAATAAAAACATGATCGCCAATGTGCATTGGAAAGAATGCGATGCCTTTACTGAATTGTTTATATGGTGGCCGGATAACTGCATTTTTGCTTATAACACAATAGCGGCCAGTCCGTACATTCGCTAAATCGCCTCGAATTATAGCACCAGTTTGCACCACAACTTTTCCATTCAACACAATATTTTGTGAGCCGCAAAGAACAGTTTGTCTGCTAACTTTATTCCCAGATGCCTAAAAACGATTATTAGCGAACGTCAACTTAAATAATGAAATTTTCACTTACAGTCTCCACATATTCATCCTTGCTGTAATAAGTATCAGCAATTTCCATTTTTAATTTCTTTTTGAAGGAGTTTGAAATTTGCTATTAACTCAGAAAAACACCAAATTTGTTGTTATTGATGACGAATTTATCAGCTGATTTTTGGTGTTTTCTTTATCCGACCTCCAATTGAAAAGCTTACAAATGTCAAAATCAAAGCGGCAAAATAATAAGGCGTTTATATGTAAACTAACCCATAATAAAAGAATTTAGTCCAAGAAAATCCATCAATCTTCTTTGCTGCTTCTAGATCGAAAATCTCAAAACCAGATCGATCACGTTGTGGGAGACGGACGATATGTCCTCAGTATTCTTGACGTGCCAACGCACCGAGGACCCAACATAGTGTCGGATCACTATCTTGTTCCAGAAAATATTCGTATCCGCCTTTGTGCAACAGAGAACCAACGTCAACAAACACAAGCATTGCTGCGGCACAGTGGAGAGAAAACATTCTTTTTACTTTTGAACATTGCGTTCGACCAGGAAGGACCCGTGAAAAGAGAATCGACACACACATCCACTGTGTCGATTAATATTTGTGGGAATACAATATTTTTGGTATTACTATTGATATTGGTGTACTTCACGAGAAGAGGAATATTCCGACTTTTCGAATAGGCCAGTCGCCGGTGAGCTGTTTACTGCTCATCTAAGCGAAAAGCCAGGTGGCTCCGAATTTCGAGTAAATGAAACCATAAAACCTAGTCCAATTCCCCGAAAAAAGAAGAAGAGCATTTCTGTTAATCACAACAAAATGCTGAATTTGCTGAATTTCAAGTAAATCCAGCCATATATAAACTTTTTTTGTAATTCCCGGAAAAAAGTGTAATCTTCTTTTTAATCTAAGTAAAAGCCACCTATGTAATCGTATGTACCGAATTTCAAGTAAATCGAAAGATAAATACAATTTTTTCAAATAGTTCAGTCCTCGGTCCCTGGGTATTTTCGAATGGGTCCCGGACTAACAAGAAGTATAGTCTTCCTGTTAATCTAAATCAGAGGCCACCTGAGTACCGAATTTGAAGTAAATCCCGCCATAAATAAACCTTTTTGAATAGGTCAGTCCCGGGTCCGATTCCCGGAGAGGGGAAGGACCTTCCTGTTAATATTACTTTCTGTCACTTTTGAAGCTGTAATTTTTGTGGCATTTGACAAGTAAAAACCACGCCAGTAATGAGATTTTTAAAATTTGCTATAAAAATACATTCAAAAATCATCTTGACTGATAGGGCAAGCAATAAGCAAAACTGTCACATTTGGGACTCGGAAACCTCTAGATTTATTGTTGAAAAACCTCTGCCTCCTCAAGATGTAACTGTTTGGTGCGGTTTACGGTCCGGCGGAGTCATTGGACCGTACTTTTTTTTGAAAATGAATGGATTGCGCTATCGAGGATGATTAATGATTTTTTATGGTCGGAATTGGATGCTATTGATCCGGACAAGGGTTACTTTCAAAAAGATGACGCTGTATAAGCAACGTAACCATCGATCTTTTATGGAATAAGCCTCTTTGAATATAAAAATAAAACCTCTTATTGGAAAACCATTTACATTTACTTGTTTTACTCCAGCGTAAATGCACCAAACGTATTCAAATTCTAACTAAGTAATACTATAAGAAGAAGAATACATACGTTAGAATATTACTATCTTTGTATAAGCGTATGGTTTACCTTGTGCGCATATAATTTCGCAAACTCAATGCCAATCAATGCCACAAAAACCTCAATGTGCAATGAAAAACATGGCTTAAAACAATGGGAGTAAGTAACGACTTGGCGGCCGCAATAGCCGACTGCGTAGCATTGCTCACCGCCATTCGGAAGGCAAGGGTTCGAGTCTTGGTTCTAATTGCGGTCACCTCTCGGCAGGAAGTGTTAAGCTCCTCATAAAAATCACTCATAAGATCACTCCATTTTTGGAAAATCGACAAGACGCACACAACAGATTTGAGAAGGAGCTCGGCCGAAAATTGCTTCAGCGGTTACAATGTGCAATTTTTATATATATAATATTTTTTGCAAGTTAATACCTATTTACAATGTCGAGACGAGTAACTGTTACTTATTTAGGCAAGTTTTTTTTTATATTGTAGATTTGTTTGTTTATTTTGTTACTTTAGATCATAATTTAGTTAGGTATTGTATATAATCTGGGTTAATATTTTTGTAGAGAATGAACCAACTACAACTGGATTTTTATTGAATTTCTGTAATTTCTGAGTAAATAGAAAATTTTGACAGTTAAAATAATTTTGCTCTATCGTACCAAGATTTAATATTACAAAAACGTTCAACACTCGAATCGTTATAAGATGAATATTTCGAAAATACCACAGAGACTAGTTTATTTGAAAAAATATTATTATTTGTTCGATTTTCTTGAAAATTGCTACAAGCCAGTTGTTGGGCTTTCTTTAAGATTTGACAATGAGCTCTATATCACGAAGGCTCGCGGCACTTGGGGTTAATAGCTTATTCAATTCTCAAGTTTCTCTTAATAATAATCCAACCCATTGAGCTATGAGCTTAAAGGGGAGGCTGATATAATAACCGAGTTATGTAGGCATTCCAATATGGAATTTGGCTTTTATTTCAGTGACAGTAACTTTGTCTTATACTCAGAGATTGTGGTCATTACAAAGGCTTTTATAGGGAAATCTATTAGATTCTTTGTATACTGCTAAATGACGATCAAGGCAATAAAGAGTAAGGAGTTATTAAACAGACTATCAAGGAAAAGCCTGTAAACATAGCATGGATTACAGAACAAATAGATGTAGAATCTAACGATAAAGTGGACAAGCTAATTCGTGTTGTCGTCGCCACACATGCTGTCACTATTGACTATCTTAGATTTTTAAATGCTGCTTAAAGCAGCTCAACCGAGAGTCGCATTAAAACGCTTAAGGTCTTGAAACATTTCAAAACTATGAGGCGGCGTGATATGCAGACAAACAAGACTGTTATTTGCAGTAAGCAAAAGAGAGCTTAGTACACTTGTATATGTATTTATAGAGCATTCGCCCCTGATATGTAATTTCCACAAACTAAGTAGTGTGTGGAGCAGGTTGAAACGTTACATTTTTCACGTTGCTGCCAGCTTCAGTCTTACGGCGATTAGCACGGTCGCTCCTAGTCAGGTTCCTAACCATCCTTTTCAATCAACAAACCAAAATAAATCGGTTAAAGTTGTCTGTTACTATATACAGAAGGAGTAGTAGTAGTAGTAGTCTCGGAGAAGCTATGAACGCTTTGTTTTTTGGCAACTGAACACGACGTTGGTATACTCGTATTCAAAATCGCGTAAAATGCTTTAGTAAGCTTTATTTTTTTTTAGCAATTCCTCTTCTGTTTACCGTTCTTTTTGTACCTTAGTGTGGTTTGGGTTGTATGTAACACCACAATTATTAAGTTTTATTAAAAGAGATCCTGGCAGTCTAATCTTTGATTATCTTCTTGTGATTGAAGACTGCTCACTTGATCGATAGATTATTTCGACTTTTATTTCTGTTTTCCACTTGACGCTGCCAGTGTACCATTGTTAATACTAATAAGAGCTTTTGAAGTAGAGCGTACCGTATTTAGATACTGGGTAATTTAGTTGGTAACCGGTTAATTTGCTGCTGTAACTTCAGACTCGGTTATGAGTCCTACAGTCCTAAAATTTGTAGTCATAATTTCCGCTGAATTGTTGTTGATGTCTTATCTGACGTTGTTATTGTTGTTATTTCGGTTTTATTTGCGGTGTTAATGCACGAGTAGGCCGACAGTTGACCCCAGTGTAGAGAACGCATTCCATACCTACCATTTTTCCTGCGCTTGGATATATAAAATCAGTGGACAGAATCTTAAAATATCCTAGAAACTGTTGTTGTAAAAACATCCAAGCTTTCGAGACTATAAAAGCTTTAAAGTACACGCACCATCCACGTAAAAATTCTACAATGAAAAAATTGGTTGAGAGATTTCCGACGACGGGCTAGAATTTGAGGATGAACGCCAGGGAACAATCCGCATCAAATCGAAGTTCTTCTCAAAGCTTTTTACGATCGCCATTAGACTGATTGACATCATCGGGGTCTCAAGTAATGTTGTCTGTAACAGCAGATTCAGGCCATTGAAAAAAAATCATCACTATGGCTGTCGCCTCGATTCGGATCCTATCTATCAACAAAGCACTCCCATAAGCAAACATAAAATAACAAAGAATGTCCGACATTAATCAGACCAGACAACCAATCACTTTTCTACTTGACTTATACGCCTCCTTTCTCAGAACACTTATTCGCAGCTCGGGATAAAAGAACTGTAAACTTAACTGTAACTTTGAAGTACACTACATACCGCAGGTAGATAAGCAATTGATTTTCGATAGTGAAAGAAGAAGAAAAGTTGGAATAATGGCTGCCCACCTCGCAATGTTCCTATTGTCCACATTAAAAAGGGCCGTGGAATAGTTACCGAGAGCGGAAGAGGAATTCGTAGACAAAAAAGAACGAGAAATCGCGGTGTATAAGGGTATGAGCGATACCAAAAAACGCATTTCAGAAGTGTTTCGAGGATTGGAAAAAACGCTGTATTATATCTGAGGGGGATTACTTCGAACAATAAATTTTTGAAAAAATTTAAAATAACGGTTATTTTCTGATCTCCCCTCGTATACGTAGAAAGAAATTGGTGTGAACGCACCGTGAAAGAAATTGGTGTGAACGCACCGTGATGTCGCTGCTGTGCAGTGCAGTGACATCTATGTTTGAAGCCATGGAGACTCAGCAGGGTTCGGGGCTTGAACATAAATTGGTCGAAATTTATAAATAAGACATTAAAAGCCTGAGCGACCGGCCGGCGCGTTTTACATTATATATTTACATTATATATGACATACAAATTTATAGAAAATTAATTTGTCTAAATGCGGGTGCCTCTAGGCAGGGAATGACAAGCCGTCAAAATGTGTGTATATATATAAGAGGGACTTTTTCGCGGCCCAAGTACTTAATGAAACAAATAATGAAATATATTTTTCACAACGTGAATACAATTCCTTTTTACCACAAATAGTTTTCAACGGCCGCTTTCAACTCACTGTCGTCTGAAAATCTTCGTTCTCTTAACTCCTTTTATATATTTGAAAAAAAAAAGAACAAGCCACTGAGA